TCCAGCCACACACAAATCACCGTCAGTTATTGATTTATAATCTCTAGAGCGGCCATTCTTCCCTCCCTCCCTCCCTCTTTACTTTATTCTCTGTTTCCCTCTTTCCGCCTGCCTACGTGGAACTATAGATCATAATTGAATTACTGTGGTAGAGGGGACGTATAATCAGCCAGATGGAGTGAGCTGACTGATTTGAAAGACGGGCAAATAATCATATCTTTCCCTTTATTATTTCTGCCGGCATGGGGATGTATTGACTCGGCACGTAATGTAACTGCTTTCTGCATAATTCCATATAATACGGTTATGTCCTGATTCCTAATTCACTGATTTTTAAACTTCCCGTAGATTGTTATTACAGCGCTGCTAAACATGCTGATTGATTTATTTGCTCCAATAAATTAGTCATGCGTTTAATAAACAATAGATGGATGTAATTTGATGGAGGGCCATTGTGTAATTAAAGACCAGGGACAGCGGGAACACTGCGGTATACCTTGTTTTTTTGCAGATAAACAAATAAACAGGTGTTAAATTGGGCCAGAATGATTCAGAGCTGTGTTCAGCCATTTTTTATTCAAAACAGACAAAAATGTTGGCTGTTTGTATCTGAGTTTTTTCATTTCTTGTATGCTGCTATAGTCCAATTTTCCACACTTACTGTAGACTTTAGAGGTTCAAGCGCTGTTGTACCCTATTGTAATTGTTAGAATGGCCAAGGATCAGCAATCTCCATCTAAAACTGATGGAGTAAAAAAAAAGTCATAGAGACTTGAAACTTGAAGGGATTGTAGTACTCAAACTGTCTACAACGTCACTAAGACTCTCCCCAATCGGCCTGACAGTGGCGCTACAGCCATCAAAATATTTTGAGGTGAAAAAGGGAGGAGGAAGATTAATGTTAATAAAATTCACAATTCATTTCAGTTCATATCTCAGAACGTGTATTTTTTGTTTGTAATTTCACAGTTGTAATAGCATAACGTGAAAGCGCCGCTTTTCTATTGCGAATGTGCCGAATCTGCTTATGTAATTACAACCGTTAGGTGATATAGAAGGGTAGGGGGAAGCTGGGGGAGAGCTGAGCTCTCGTAAAAAAAAATTAGCCAATCACCATCGAGTGTTCACTTTCAGCGCTGAGGAGTCTTGAGAAAAGAAACCTCGTAGGGGAGGCTAGCCTCCCTTCTGGAATATAAACCAATCATCACAGAGACGTAAATTACGTGATATTAGTTTGAACATCTCCCGCTGCCCTGATAATGTACCAAGTACTTATGAGTAGCGATATTAAATATATATTTGATCGCCAACAGATTTACCAAGCTGTCATTCAAACAGTATATATACAAATTAAAAATAAAGGGAGAACCCACCTAAGCTGGATACAGGCTAACGTTACAGCAGTCGGCTCTTTTAACACAGACTTTTAAGAAGGGATGGATGTTTGCTTCAAGTGATAGGCCAGGTAAGTGAAATTATATTATCTTGCTGTATGTGTGTCGTTTTCTTTACGTTTTCTGACTAAAAGCAACCAAAAAGCCATTTTAAAGTGGTTAAGCAAATAATAATAATAATAATAATAATCGGCAGGGATCCCCAGACCAATACAATTAGTGTGCCTCCTCTATTTTAAAACCCACGAGCAGCCACTGTCAAAAGTATGAAATCGCTCATAACTCCTAAACCGTTAGTCGCAGGCTCAAGCGTATTATATCATTGGAATCATTGGCTCACAATGGATAAAACGCATACCTCAGCAAAATTTTTGGGTTGAACTTTCAACACACCGTTGTAACGGGACACCTAAACATTCATAAGGGGCAGAGCCGCTTTTACTAAAACGCCTATAACTCTTGAATGGAAAGAAATATTTTTTGCCAAAATCAAACACTTGGTGGCAAAAAATATTTCTTTCCATTCAAGAGTCGACTCGAACACTTGGTGGCAAAAAAGGCACTAAAATAGTATAAAATGTTAAAAACACCATTTCTATGGTAAATTTCCTGAAATTGCATTTATAACCACTAGATGGCAGCAGAGAACCACTTATTGGGTCCTTCTACTCACTGATATGATTTTTACATTTGGATCCACATTTAGACATTATGAAATCAATATTATTACATTTAAAATTTAATGAAAGTTTTTAATAAAAGTTTACCAATGCATTTATACAGACATTTCAAAGTTTTTACAATTGTGCCAGATTATGATTACAGTGAAACCTGAAAATTATATTTAAATTCTTAAAAAGAGAAGACTTGCAGTAAGCAATTTGTTTCCTATTATTTATTTCAAATATCTATATCTGCAACAAAATGTGCGCATGTGTGTGTGTGTGTGTGTGTGTGTGTGTGTGTAAGCATGCTTAATGAGTATTGATATAATAGTTTAACCATTTCATTTATGTTTCTGTGTTTGAGGCTTAGACCCTAAAAGCATAGAACCTTAGTGCTTGAACCCTGATAATCGCTGCTTGCTTGCATATAGTAAATAATATGATTGGTTTATATGTATTTATTTATTTAATATCTTAATATTTTATTTAGTGTTTTAGCTTATCTTTGTATATATTATCATCACAAAACACAAATAATCATTTAGGCTTTTTTTGGCAATTAGGATCACTAATCACCACCACATTTAAGGTTTCCCTCCAAAATCCTGATTTAACCCCTTGTATAAATGCTCTCATTCTCATTCTCATTCTCATGCTCTCAAAGATCATTTGACACTGAAGATTGGAGTAATGGCTGCTAAACATGTTCATCATCTGAACAAAATCTTACAAACCCAAACTTGAACAATTTAAGCTTTTAACCCTCAAGAATCTCCATCATTATTGACAGATTTTCCTTATGAGAGAATCCTCTGCCTTCATCTCACAGCGACTGGCAGACACCCACCGTATAACATTTATCAACTTTTTAATGTTCTCTCCACTTTCCCTACTTGTCAATCCCATAATCCTCTGCGTGAGTCAGCTCCAGTAGAGAATGCATTGAAAATGCACATTCGACTCTGCGCCAGTGGACACGTACGATTAACCCACTGCACAGCTGAGACGCTCTGATATCAGCAACTAGTTCAAGTACGCCACACTCAGAAGAACTAGAAATACTGTTGATTCAGTGTGCAGCTCTGAAACAGAGGAGACCTGTGAGCTCAAGCATCTGTCAACAAGTCTGCTTGTGCTGTCAAAGATGGAGATCATCGATAAAAGCAGGTTTTAGCAAGATAAAAAACTGTTATTTTACTACAAGCAATTTAAAGGGTCATGAAACATTAAACTTCATTTTCTGAGATTTTAACAAAGGTGTGTGTTGCACATCATAAAAGATAATGTTAGCATCAGTTGATTTTAATTGTAAGAGAAAACTGGTTAATTTGAAGTTTTTTTGTGCTATTTTTATCGTTCGGGTTTGAATTCTTCAATTCTTCAGGATGTGATGTTTTTTTACATTTTAGTACAGCGATGACTCATCAGTGTCTCATAATTATTCATGAGACTGTGTGTTCTTATCCAATGAGAAGATGCTTTACCTAATTATTCATGACAGCGTGTGTTGATTTCCTATGACAGACACGTCAAACTGTGAAAATCACGTACAGTAGTAGAGACACGTTCATGGATCAAATGGGAGTAAAACAATAATTTTGTGAAATATTATTAGAATTTAAAGGGACTGTGTTCTATTAGAATATATTTTTAAAATTTAATTTGGTCATTCTAATATGCTGGTTTGCTGCTTAAGAATAATTTCTCATTTTTATCAATGTAGAAACCAGTTTTTGCAGCCATTCAAAATATTTTTTTAAGTAATTAATAATTGTATTCACCATAGATGCATTAAATTAATCAAAAGTGTCAGTAAAGACATTTATAATGTTACAAAATATTTCTATTTCAAATAAATGCGGCTATTTTGAACATTGTACTCATCAAAGAAATCCTGAAAAAATGTATCTTGGTTTCCACAAAAATATTATGCAGAAAAAAAAAACTCTTTTCAACATTGATAATAATATGAACCATTTTATATTGTGATAATAATGCACAATATTTCTGTTTTAACACATTTTTGATCAAATAAATGCTGCATTGGTGAGCATTTGATCCTTCCTCCAAAAAAAAAAAAAACTTAATTAAAACTTAATACTGGTAGTGTATATGTAATTTCCTAAACTACTAATTCATAATGTCCTCAGAGCAAATCCCTTTGCTCATACTCATCCTGGTCAAGAATCAGGGTTATTATTCAATGGGGGGGGCGAACTACAGATTGTTGGTAGTCATTTGTTCCAGATGACAATGATTGTCAACCACACAGAGTTTCAGTCAAAGCTCGTTCACAGATGTCTAGAGCCACATCCAAGAATCATCATATTTTATCTTACCAGCAACATTCATTTCATTCTGTTTGTTTACCAGTGGGAGAAACAAAGGTTGGACGAGCTGAATGTTTGCTCATGTTTAAAGCTTGTTGCCAAATGTCTTCATCGGCCCCACTGTGAAATTGCATTACACAGTCAGTGAATATTAATTGATGGCATTTGGTATTGGACAAACAAAGTAAGTGAGAGATGTGTGTGTGTGTTTGAAAGGTCCTGGAATAATAGTGTGTTGAACGAGAGATCCGTGATCACTGGAGCACAGTTGAAAGTGAGCTGGATAGTAACAGATGTTTTCTCCTGGGAAACAGAAAGAGCGTGTGGCTCTTTTTGTCTGGCGTGTGGGTGTTGGACAGGAGCGTAAGCTACAAGAGGACAGAGAAAGTGTATGTAAATGTGAGTTTGTGTGCGTTTCAACCCTAATGAAGTGAGACACTAATAATAATACTACAAAGAAAAATAAATCAATAAAATAAAATAAAATAAAATAAACATCTGATGCATGTGCACATGAAGACAAACTCAGACAGTGTAGACAGAACTCGACAGCACATCTTGTGTGCATGACCCCTAATATTGTATCTTTCCGCTCTCTGTCATCTCTGCAGGGAGAAGGAGCGAAATCTCACCCAGGCAGGACAGCCTGTGATCCAGCCTCAGCGTCCGGACGGCGCTAGATTCACTGGAGGAGGCTTCAGTTTTAAGCAGCACAACAGGATGGCACTTCAAGCTCTGGAACAGCAGTCCTGATGCCCGCCAGAGCCCTCTGAGGACCCTCTTCACCCATCATCGCCTCTTGATAGACCGTATTTTCTCATATTTATTCAGCTCTATTGGTCCTGGCCAACTACCCAGTCAGCTGCTGTAAGTCATGCACTAAAGTCAGTTCTTTTTGCCTCCTGGAATAAATAAAGTCTATTGTTTTCACTCAAAAGTTTCTGTTTCATTCTGCACTAAACACTTACACAAATCCACACACAAACACAGTCTCTATTTGCCTCTCTAGTCCTCTGACGCTCTGTTTGTCTGTGTCGCTCTCAGATGTAGTGTACTCTTGTTTTCTAGTGTGCAGGTGCTGTTGGCTGCCGAGTATAATATGATACTCTGTGTACTTGTCCCCATCCTCAACACTTTTGTACTTGTGTTTTTTTTTTTTTTTAGGAACATGGGCTTTTGTGGATTTGTAAGTATGTGCAATGCATTGTATTCTGGTTGGTCTAAGAGCCTACATACTATAATTGTTTCTAAGCCATTTTGTATATACAATCACATACCAAAACCTAGTGAGCTGCCTTGGTGTGAACTGCCTACATAAGCAGCATCCTAACTGAAATGAAGTCTCATAAGTATCCAATTTAGAACGCTCTACATAAACAGAAGCTCTTTGCATCATATAAATAGTACTCGTCGCATAAAGTGCACAATTTGGCTTTAGCATTCTGCAAAGCATATGGCAAAAAACTCTAATATGCATAAAAATAACACAAGTATTGGGTTAACAGTGTATTTTTATCAAGGCTTGAAAACTGAAAAAAAAAAATCCAATCGGTTCACTCCGAAAAGAATCGATAGTATCCAATTTAGAACGCTCTACATAAACAGAAGCTCTTTGCATCATATAAATACTACTCTTCGCATAAAGTGCACAATTTGGCTTTAGCATATGGCAAAAAACTCTAATATGCATAAAAATAACACAAGTATTGGGTTAACAGTGTATTTTTATCAAGGCTTGAAAACTGAAAAAAAAAAATTTCCAATCGGTTCACTCCGAACAGAATCGATATTTTAACGTTTCTGTTCCTGCGTTCCTCTGTATTATTATCGTTCCGAAACCGGTTTGCCTAGAAAAAATACCGGTTAAAGACGTTATTTTAAAAACGTTTTCTTTGCCTATAATAATAATAATAATAATAAAGGCTACTTTGGCTTCTCGGGGCATATAAATATTGAAACAGCAAATTTCAGCCCTCAAGACTGTAATCCTGTCAACGATTGTTGCTTTTTTGCTGAGGTTCCTTTTCATAAATTTTATGCAGGGGCCGTTTGAAGGTTTTTCATCCGACATTTAACACTGTCACAGACTGCCAGTTTGCAGCACAGTGAGTAATGTTTTGAAGATCCAGGGAGGGATGAGGGAAAAGTTTAGGACGCAGAAATCTTTTCTGTGTTTACCTAAACTAAATGCAGCAACGTGGCTCCAAATAAACCCCTCAGAGAGTGCAGGAAGCTTAACTGTGTTAATTAGCCCTGAATAGGTACGACGGTGTTCAGCCCAAACCACTTTGGGATTGTAGGGACTCAGTATGCTCCCATTTGAGAGGGGAACTCCCAATTACTATGCAGAGCCTTAGATGTTGATGTGTGAAATCTTCGGGTCTTGCTTTACATATTCAATCTTGGATTGGCACAGCCAGAGAAAAAGAAGAGAACAGTAGTCTGGCTTTTTACAAATATCCTGCTGAGGGAAGCACTTTATTGGCTTAGACTATCTGCTTTGTGTAAATACACAGCCCTGGAAGCCCTGGCAGCGGCGGGGTGAATTGATTTCCTCTGGTGGAACAGAGCCTGGAACTGTGTGTGGAGGAGTGAGACAGCTGCTGTATACTTTTCTGTCTCTCTCTCTGTCACTATGCTGCGTCAAGGCCACTTTCAACCCTATTTCTATCCCCTTTTACTGTTTACTACTCCCTCCTCCTCCTCACACTCCCTCTCTGCCTACACTTCATCATGTTTTTTTCCTTCTGACACTTAGTTTTTTCCCCCCTCTATCTCTGAATATATTGTCGCGTCTGGCTGTGAGCGTGCTTTAAGCACATGCTGCAACCTTGATAGATGTTCTCTCCCTCTATCTCTCTCTCCCTCCCTCTCTTCCTTCTTGTCCACCTCTATTTCTGCATCCTAGCTGCTGCAGGTCTGTATTTCTCTCCCCCCAACAAGCTCAGGATCTTTCCCCTGTGCGATGTAAAATGCGGATCTGGGTGAGGGAATGGGTATCCATTTGTGTACCTCTCGTTCTGTGGATGGGCTCTGTGAAAAACCTACATTTAGTGCATGGCTTAATTAGCTGTTGCACGCAGCATGGCAGAGTACGTCTTGGATGCATTATATAATGCGTTATATAATTGGATGCATATTTCATGTTGAATGTTGGAGAGGGAGGCTCTTCAGAGTGGCATCCTGTAGTTGAAGATGAGTGCTAATGTCAAGAAGAAAGGACAAGCTTATGTTCAGTTTGGAGATTTGAGGCAACTGCTGCTGTTGTTAACCTGATTGAGAAACTCATACTCTGTCAGTTCTGTCAAAGTGTGAGCTAGTAATCAAAAGGTTGTAAAAGGTAATAATTATTGAGTAATATTTTAATTTTGGCTTTGGTTAAGTGACAATATGAAACTGCAGCAGATATATATAAATATTACATTATATATAGTACACACAAAATGATTTTTTGCCTATTTTTAGATATTAGGTAACACTTTAGTATAGGGACCAATTCTCACTATTAACTATTTGCCTTATTAGCATGCCTATTATTAAAATTTAAGCTGTTTATTAGTACTGATAAAGCACATATTCTGCATGACCATATTCTACATCCCTAATCCTACCCAATACCTTAACTTAACAACTACCTTACTAACTATAAATAAGCAGCAAAGTAGGAGTTTATTGAGGCAAAAGTCATAGTTAATGCTTTGTTAATAGCGAGAATTGGACCTTAAAATAAAGTGTGACCAAATATTATTATATTATTATGTCTAATGTCTATATGTCTAATGTCTATATGTCATGCTTAATATTGTTCTCACACAGTCTTTAAACATGAAAATATTTATAGTTGCCTTTATATCTATATATATTTATATAGCAGGGCACACTATATAAATATATATATACCTTGGACCACAAAACCAGTCTTAAGTCACACGGGTATATTTGTAGCAATAGCCAACAATATATTGTATGGGTCAAAATTATCGATTTTTCTTTTATAATTAATCATAATCATTAGGATAATCAATAAATAATGATTAGGATATTAAGTAAAGATCATGTTCCATGAAGATATTTTGTCCATTTTAATAACATTATAATTAATTATAAATAATTAATTTATAATTAATAACTATTATAATAACAGTAAATTATGCATAATTACATTAAAGTAACCCTAAACCCTAAACTACGAATGTAAATGAGATCTTCTGCTGACATAAAAAACTCAAGTCTGCAGCAAACGTGTTTTTGAAGTCATTGTATAGTTGGCGTCTTTTTTCTTTGTTGAGCGTGATTAGCTTGTCAGAAACTCTCTATGAGAGATCAATTCAAGATGTTTTCTAGTTCGATGTTCTTTGTAAACGAACAGGTCTTGTTGATTGTTGGAGTAATTGCTGTAAGCCTCAATGAGTAATTTCTTTTCCCTAAAGCGGAGAGGTTTACAATAGATGTTAACAAGCTCATGGCATGGCACGAGCTTACAAATATCTGACTGGAAACGGGCTGCAACATAATAACCCCTCAGGAGAGGAACATTTGTGTAGTTTACAACTGAAACGACCTGGCCGTGATATTGTAATGTAACGTGAGTTAACACAGATACACCCAACTGAGTCATTCCTTCACAAAGTCTTACAAGGCAAATTTGATGGTTGTGTTTGTTTTGCACTGCAGGAAATAATGTCACGGAATGTTGTTTCCTGGAGCAAACAGACACTCTTGAACTGCTAGCTGATTGCGATGCAAGTTCAAAAGAAGTCCAATAAAGCGCATCCATCTGTAATAAAAAAGTGTCCCACATGGCTCCGGGGGGTGAATAAAGGCCTCCTGTAGCGAATCAATGCTTTTTTGTAAGATTTGTGTAGGCCAATGTAGGCTATTCCTTTTTATGTAAGCCTATAGTTTTATTCTGTTTTCTCCGTTCACAAGCGCGAGATCTGTTGAATCCATCTTACACTATCCTCGGATAAACTCTAATGCATTGCCATTGCGACTTACCTATGATGAGTTTACAGCATTTCACGCATTGGATGCGTCAGCGTCACATTTGCATTTCTGAATTCCTGATTGGTTGACAGCAAATTTCAAATATTAAATGGGCATTTCACGCATTGGATGCGTCAGCGTCACATTTGCATTTCTGAATTCCTGATTGGTTGACCGCAAATTTCAAATATTAAATGGAACGATAAAATAACGTTATTAACCAGTCAATGGCCATTTCAAATTTTTGATTCTGTTCTGAAATATAAAATTTGATTTCGTTTCTGTTTCTGGTTCTGTTCCTGTCAAAATTTCGTTCGTTTCCAGTTTTCGTTCCTTGAACCGGTTCAGAGCCATGATTTTTATGAAGTAAATAATTGTATGTGAGAGGGTCAGTGGTAATATCAATGCATTCCTATTGGTCAGTGTTAGAGGAACTCAGCTTAGCCTGACAGTTAGCCTGCTCCGGACCAGGGGCCCATTCTTTGTACGTCGCATCTGAGATGAATTGAAAGATTTCAGATCTTCTAATCGTCATAACTGATCTCTGGTAATTTGGTTCTTCAAACGAATTTGCAGATTTGATTAAAATATCTGGATTAAGTTGTCTAAGATTACTGCACGTTCTGGTGTTCCTCGAAAAGGGCAGATGTATCGATACTCGAAACCACGATCAGCAATGCAGCGATTGGCTGGCGGCAAGACAGCAACGTAATGACATCATATAATTAAAAAAGACACCTGATGAAAAAGTTGACAAATTTCTGGACCTTTATAAGGAAACAGCGAAGCGAACAAAACTAGATAAATGTTATAATAGATAAATTAAATATGCACTGTTTTTATTTTATTTGTATTTTTTATATG